AGACCGTCAGATGTGTAGATCGTAAAATAGTCTAAAATCGTCATATCGCCCAGCTCTACGTGAACTATAAGTTCACTATTAAAGACGAAGTGGAACCACGCTAGAAACACACAAGCACGCAGGGAGATGCCGCTGCCACAGGGATGGGATTTCTTGATGCAATCTCCGGCAAAACGCTTTAAAACTGGTGAGGAGAAGCGAGACAGTTCGAAACGGTATGAAGCAGAGAAGCGTAGGTGGAACGATTCTTGGCGGTTTAAAGAAGACGGGAGGCGCAGAGAATGGTCGTGTTCGAGTTGAGCAGCGCCTCGCCTGGAAAACAGACGAGAGCAGACGGACGCAGCAGGGGGAGTGGCTGAAAGCCGGACAGATTTCCCTACATATGTAGCTCGGGGGTGATGATGGCTGAAGATATCGCGTGAGCGTTCACACTTGTTCAATTTTCAATTTTAATTCTGGTGCCTGTTAGCAGCTGAAACACATCCTCACGTGCTTGTGGATATAATATATTGTATATGAAGACATGACTGTAATAATAAGTAAAGGTTATCAGCTGTAGGTCTAGTGTGCTCATAGGAAATGTGACAAAAGAAAACAAATCACATTTCTCTTTATGGCCTATATAGTTGTCATCATCAACATAACATGATTTACAGAATACATGTGACCAACTATCATTTCATGTTCTACCACCGGATGTTTGGATCAAAATATGAACCAATCAGATCTTAGATCAGGTGAGAGCCAGGCGTTTCCCATCATCCTCTAGGTTTTGCAGCCGGTGGAGAGCAACTGCAGCACCTTGCTCCAAAATCTGCGGCCGCCTTGATCTCACGTGGTTATCGTTGCCTACGTATGCATGACGTCAGAGCAAGTCGGCGTCAAGTCGGACACAAATCTAACCGGCATGCACTGCGCACCGATCACCGCTGGTCTAATCTGCGCAGAACTGGCTCATCTCGAACACAGCCAATGGCTCGAGTACAGCAAAGCAGAGCTGGTGATGCACTGCATTGTATGCTGGAAGTATGCGACGACAAAATCGAGTTTTGTTGAGGGAACAAACAAATTCAAACTTGAATACGTTATTATGTTTGTGAATGTGTACAAAATAAAGGTTTATTACATTTAAAACGGTTCAGTTGTTATTTTGACTCATTTTGGCAGCTGACCAGCGGGGCCGGTAAATATTCAGAGTTACCGGCCCGGCTGGCCGGTTGGTTTTGAAGTTAATGTCCACCACTGACGATGGCAAAGACCAAAGAGCTTTCGAAGGACACCAGGAAAATAATTGTAGACCTGCACCAGACTGGGAAGAGTGAATCTACAACAGGCAAGCAGCTTGGTGTGAAAAAATCAACTGTGGGAGCAATTATCAGAAAATGGAAGACATTCCATGTTGTCATTCTTTTTTAAAACACAGAAACGGTTTTGTTACCTGTTACTGACGCTACAGTTTTGCATCAATAACAGGTAACAAAACCGTTTCTGTGTTTTAAAAAAGAACAACAACATGGAATTAGAAATAACGCACAGCAAGAACACACCTAAGATGTTCAAATGGAAGACACACAAGACCACTGATAATCTCCCTCGATCTGGGGCTCCACGCAAGATCTCATCCCGTGGGGTCAAAATGATCATGAGAACAGTGAGCAAGAATCCCAGAACCACACGGGGGGACCTGGTGAATGACCTGCAGAGAGCTGGGACCACAGTAACAAAGGTCACCATCAGTGACACACTACAACAGCAGGGAATCAAACCCTGCAGTGCCAGACGTGTTCCGCTGCTGAAGCCAGTGCATGTCCAGGCCCGTCTGAAGTTTGCCAGAGAGCACATGGATGATACAGCAGAGGATTGGGAGAATGTCATGTGGTCAGATGAAACCAAAGTAGAACTTTTTGGTATAAACTCAACTCGTCGTGTTTGGTGGAAGAAGAATACCGAGTTGCATCCCAAGAACACCATACCTACTGTGAAGCATGGGGTGGGAACATCATGCTTTGGGGCTGTTTTTCTGCTAAGGGGACAGGATGACTGATCCATGTTAAGGAAAGAATGAATGGGGCCATGTATCGTGAGATTCTGAGCCAAAACCTCCTTCCATCAGTGAGAGCTTTGAAGATGAAACGTGGCTGGGTCTTCCAACACGACAATGATCCCAAACACACCGCCCGGGCAACAAAGGAGTGGCTCCGTAAGAAGCATATGAAAGTCCTGGAGTGGCCGAGCCAGTCTCCAGACCTCAACCCCATAGAAAATCTGTGGAGGGAGTTGAAAGTCTGTGTTGCTCGGCAACAGCCCCAAAACATCACTGCTCTCGAGAAGATCTGCATGGAGGAATGGGCCAAAATACCAGCTACTGTGTGTGCAAACCTGGTAAAGACCTTTGGGAATCGTTTGACCTCTGTTATTGCCAACAAAGGTTATGTTACAAAGTATTGAGTTGAATTTTTGTTATTGACCAAATACTTATTTTCCACCCTGATTTACAAATAAATTCTTTAAAAATCCTGCCGTGTGAATTCATGGATTTTTTTTACATTCTGTCTCTCACAGTTGAAGTGTACCTATGATGTAAATTACTGACCTCTGTCATCACTTTAAGTGGGAGAACTTGCACAATTGGTGGCTGACTAAATACTTTTTTGCCCCACTGAACGGTAAAAAAGTCACATATGAGAAAAATAAATGAAATGTGAATATGTTAACGCCTAACAGAACAGATTAAAACAGACACGGTAAAGTCACCAAAAACAGACATGGAAATGTCCGAGTTGGCTGTGGATGATAATGACACGAGCAGAAAGAGAGAGTATTAAAAAAAAAAAAAGAAATACACGAAACAGAAATGTCAGCTAGTGGACAAGTCCTCACCTGAAGATTTATTCCTCATAAGACGAACCTCTCTTGGCTGGATTCCCTGTTCCTGAAGCTGTGCCCGGATCTTTGGACAAAAGAGAAATGTTTAGACCCAGCAGCACAAAAATCTGAGCAACAACACAGAAGAATCGCACCTCATTGGCAGTGGCACTCGGTGGAAGCATGCGAAGCATTATAATGTTGCTGGGCCGTTGATTCTGGTCTAAATCTGCCCGGTAGTCCTGGTCCCTCTGGTCCAGCTCCTCTACTGACAGGTCTGGGCCATCATTTCCATAACCGTGCTCTTCCGCTATCTCTGGAAATGGCTACATAAAGAAGCAATATGAATAATTGTGATCTCAAATTTAAAAAAATAACAAAAGAGCAGGGCTTAGATGTGTAATGGCTTACCCTCTTCCTTCCAGCCATATGAGAGAACCGGTTGTCCTCTCTCTGTACAGCAGGACTGAGATTCATCTGCTCTGATTGGTTATCAACATGACCCCAGTTGCTCTCCCTACTTTCTGAGTGCAAAGCGCTGCTCTCCAGGAAATATCTTCCGCCTCTGCCTCGACCTCGTTCATGCAAGCCAGCGTGTGGCAGCCCGTTCTCTCTGAGGAGGATGGGGTGAGCAGCATCAGGGTGTGAGAAAGGCGGCCACAAGAGTGCCTTCCTGTCACGCCCGACGTTGCCTCGACCATTCCCTCTGTGGTGAAAGCGAGCATCATCTTGGGGAAAGCCGGCTGGGAAGTCATGGACACCCAGTGGCGGCTCCTTATGACTGTACATTAGATCTGCTTCCAGTCCGGCATCATGAGCTGATCCTGCCTCCTCATCCTCTTGTCCATAGCCGCGATAGTCCATGTCCCTAAAGTTGTGGTCATTGTGGTTCCCATAGCGACCTCTACGATCACCTCGCCCACCCCTGTAGATCATAAATGATGTTAGAGCCTTTTCTGACCATTTCAAAATGTCCAAACATAAAAACTGTCTCACCTCCGCTCATAGTCCATGCTGAACCAATAGCTCTGCTCCTAGTTTCGTCCTTTTTATCTTGATGCTTTTGTGAGAGAACCAAACAGGTAAAGTTAAAGTCCAGATAATAATAATAAGCCTCTGCAGTGAGAGAACCAAACAGGTAAAGTTAAAGTCCAGATAATAATAATAAGCCTCTGCAGTGACTGGGGTGGATGGGTCTGATGTGCAAAGCTGTTGTTTACTCTCAACTTTGAAAACGATGTCAGCCACTGCTATAATAATACAGCAAAAAGGCAAAACTTGACAACAATATTCTCAGTCCTTTAATAACACACACGCAATACGTTTGCACAGATGTTTTACGCAGATATGTCCTCTTCAAATAGGAGTTTTTAACAATGACGCACGGCGGTCATTTCTGTTAGCGGCTAAGCTAACTGCTTTAGCTGACCTGATCCGAAGTAGACATTACATGTGCTGCCATGGTCACAAACACTAAATAAATCCTGCGAGAAATGGAAGCAACACTCACCAGAAACTCATGTAACCACCGACTCTTCCTCAAACGACAGATTCAAGTGAAAGAGGGGTTTTGTTTCCAGTGAACCAGGTGTAAAATGGCCACAAGCCACTACAGCCGAGCATGTCAAGGGGGGCGGAACTAAAAACTAAGATATGAAATCTGATTGGTTGATTTTTGGGTGAATGTTTTAAGCTACTTAGTGATTGGACCTAAAAAATAGATGGCCAACAAACAACGATCTAACTTTTTGGAGCAGAGGTTTTCTAGCCTGGCAAGCCAGACTATATATTCACATATATAACTTTGCAAAGCCAGAATTTGGTCTAGTTCACTAGGCTAGAGGTTTTATGCTTTTTTCCTGGTTTGATTTTATCAAAGCAGTTGGTTACAGCAGGGTTACAGTCAGGGGCGTAGCACCAAATTCTGGGCCCTAGATACAAGTCTTCTAGGTGGGCCCCCATGCTCAATTACTTAATATCTCTCTTACACATTTTTTGTCATGCTATAAGACAAGATAATAAATATGATCTTAGTTTAACCTCTATATTGAGCAAATACAAATGCCAGCATAATAAAAGTGAAATGCCCAGACTTCACATATAATTATTTTTATTTGCCAACAATGTGTTCAAACAAAAATCCTGGAATTTATTTTCCAGTAAATGCCCACTGACGGGTCTTCATGTTAGCAAAATCACTTATGAGAGTCCAATCCTTTGGCTAATTGGCTTTCAATAGAAAGAAGAGCTAGGCTGTTCAGTCTATCCTGGGACATTGTTGATCTCAAATAATTTTTCACCAGTTTCAGTTTGCTAAAAGCCCGTTCACCCCCAGCAACAGTCACAGGTAGTGTGCAAAATATCCTCAGTCCAATACAAACTTCTCCAAAAATGCTCTGTAATTGCATCCTGTATAGATGACATTAAGCAGCTCAAGAGGAGACCGAATGTGTGGAAATGTGGCACCATATATTGTTCTCAGGTGTAGCATCTCATTCTCAAATTCAGCTGTGAGATCCTTGTAATATTTTCTCATCGGTGCCTGGCATGATATCTTCATCTGCTCTTCAGTCATGTCTGTCATGGTTCATGATGTTACTGATATATGTTGATATATTAAATACATATGACACGAAATAAACCAGGTTCTCTCTGTGAATGTAATGTACTCTAAATTTTATAATCCCTGCATTATCAGCCAAATTATGAGATTGTCCGTTTTCAAGATCAAATATAAAGAAATTTAAAATAGGCTTAAAATATCTAACCAAGTCAATAACAATCCTCTAACACCAGTGTCATCATGCTGTACGAAAAACAGTGGCAGCTTCTCATTCCTGAGATTACCACGAATCCATCGATACCAAGTTTGTCCTGGTCCATGACTGGGAAGGAGCTGAAATATCCACACAGAGTGAACCTGTTTTTACTGCGAGGGCCGCAAATTAATTGGCGGCGGCCGCCTGCGATAATAATCCTGATTAATTTATATATAAATTAATTAGTGTTTTCACTGATAACACTAATTAATTTATATTTGATCTTGATGGTGAAACTAAAGGCGTTTAACACTGAACACCTAACATGAATGCAGCTTCTGAGAGCTAGCTAATATCAGCTAAAACTGTGTTCTGCTGCTGCTGGCTGCTACTCACCGTCCTTCTTGAAAAACCTAGTCAATACTTGCTTCTGTTCAATTAACTTTTTCTCCTTCTCCTTCTTTTCTTTTCTTTTCTTTTCTTTTCTGGAAGCCAGATTTCCCTTTCTTGGGAAAAGACATGCCTGACTCTCCTGCCTCCAGCTCTGGCTGTCGGCATCTGCGATGTCTCATAGCTGTACATGCGGCCGTGCAGCCCCTGGCCGCTGGTGTGGACTAAACCACTTTGCACATTTTTAAGGGGTGATAGATGCCTCAGAGATTATTCAGTTATTATTTTTAAGGCGAAATTCTCTTTCTTAACCTCTTTATCCAGGTAAAGGGAAGTTTATTAAGACATTAAGTAAGTTGGGGGAAAAAACAACAACAAGAAAACATTTTTATTCAAAGCTGTCTCAGGGCCCCTCCCTGCAGTGGGCCCTGGGTAAACGGTACCCACCCCCCCACCCCCCCCCCCCCAGTCCGACGCCCCTGGTTACAGTGGATGTTTATTCTAAATAGGCTGCCCCAGACCAGCCTATCAACCAGATTTATTTGAACCTAGATTGTGCGCAGGAAAATAGCAACCCGATGAGAAATGTCTTTATTTATCTAAAACTTGCCATCAAGTCTTTGCTTTTATATTATGTAGCATCTAAATATTTTATTTCAAATCCAGCTTTATAATTTAACTATAATAAACGTATATTTTAATTTACATTAAAGAGCAAGTCACCCCCAAATAAACTTTTTTTTGCTGATAAACTAAATAAACGAGTGTCTAATCATGCTACAGACACGTGTCGTTAATAATTTGGCACGTCAGTGCATCTTCGTTAAAATTTAAATATTCTGCCTAAAACTGGCAGTGTTGTGCCGTTGTCAGGTAAAAAGTCTGCACTGCATTTGAATTTAACTCTGCCACCGCTATTGGCTAAGAGGTATGCTATGATGTAAACTGGTAGATTATGATGTCACAATGTCTTGAGTGTGTGTGTGTGTGTATTTGTTAGCGGCTCCACCCTCTCGGTCTGCTAGGCAACAGCATTTGTTGCATTTTTCAAACATGAAGTGGGAGTGGAGTTAGACTCTGGTAGGGGGTGACTTGCTCTTTAATTTTATATAGCTCATTCACATTGACAATAGTTTATAAATGATGCACAGTTTGATTTCAGACATTCATTGTTTGTTCTGCACCTGTATAACTTCTCCCTCTTGTTGGTCTTTGTTAACCAAAATAAACCTAATAACTCTGCCAGAGCTTGGTCAAGTCCATCGTTCTAATTTGTATTATGGATTTGTTAAAAAAAAACAAAGATCCATTAATTTTGAGTAATCAAATATCATAACACTTGATGCAGAATTACTTCTAAAAAGGTATTTGGTTACATTTCAGGTTATTTTAATACAGTATATGCACTGTGCAATACATAAAATATCATGTTAAAAACTGAAGTTTCAAAAAAATCTATTGCAGGTGTAAGTGACATAAATTACCAATACAAACTATATTAGCATTGACTGCAATTTTTATACTTGCCCTAATTAAAACATGTCTAAAGGAAATCACTGGACACCCAAACATAATAATTTATACCGATTAATTTGCATGTCATCAATTACACGTAGTTCCTTATTACCTACGGCTTTGGCCACAAAAGGAATAAATTAATGGAGTCGTGATCAATGGAGACACACACAAATGTATTCACTCATGTATGGATGTGCACACACACACACACACACACACACACACACACACACACACACACACACACACACACACACACACGCACACACACACACACACACACACACACCAATGTTTTGAGTGTTTGTATTTGAAAGGAGACAAAAAGGTAATGACAAAATACAGAAAATATTTGTGGAAATAGCAACAAACTAATTCATCAAACATTTCAAATAGCTTAAAAGTTGTTTTTTGTTGCACAAAATAAAATAAAATAAAATATAAAAAAACTCACATTCTATTAAGACATGATACATCAAATCTATTTTTTAATTTGTACTAAAGCATAAATAAATAAATACATCTATAAGACGCTATAATATGGATAATTTAAGAAATAATGCTGAAGTAACAAGTAAACTTATCACATGCCCTAACAAGGCCTTGTAAGGCAAACAGTCGAATAATGAAAAATAATCTTTTAATGCACAGAAAAAACATTATGCATCACTTGTGAGCTGACTCACTGCACCATAAATCAATGTCTGATTAACAAAAAGAACATCCTAAATGAACCTGACTGTGCTTGTATTGTACAAAAGCTTACAAAAAGTATTTGAGCAGCTGTTAATTGCAGTAACCATCATAGTAATTTTGGATCAGTGTCGTAGAAGACCTACGGTAACTTACACACACAACAAGAGAGGTAAGTCCTTGTTGATTGAAAAATGTTTGAAAAAGTATTAATTATATGTTGCTTTTTTCCCCCAAATATGTTTATTATGATTTTCAGATTAAAACAGAACAAAATACATCAACCCCCCCCCCAACACCTACCCACCCCAAGAATCCCCTCCCTCCCACCCCCCACTTCACTCCGCTTCTTCAAAGTCAAAGGCGTCTAGAAGATGCAAAAAGGGCAGCCAGATGTCCTTGAAGTCCTCGAGTTTTCCTCTGGCCATATACGTTAGTTTCTCAAGCGCCAGATTACTGGACAGAGAATTGATCCATTGTTTCACTCCTGGCCTTTCTGTGGCCTTCCATTTCAAGGCAGTAACGTATTTAGCTTGTAACAAGGAGAATTCAATCAATTTCTAATTCTTTTTATTACATACAAAGCTGTCTGGATAGATGTGCAGTATACAAAGTTTACAGTCAAGGGGCATCTTACATTTAATTAAATCTGAAATAATTGTACAGATTTGTTTCCAAAAGATTTGAAGTTCTTCACATTGCCATATACAGTGGTAAAGTGTCCCTTTTTCTTTTCCACATTTATTACAATCATCAGGGATATTAGGGTTGAAATAATGAAGCTTCACTGGTGTGATATAGGTTCTAAACAGCCACTTGTATTGTAATAATCTAAGTCTTGTGTTAATTGTTTGTTTTTGCGCACGTTCACAACAGTCGTTCCACACTTCTGCTGAAATGTCTGTTTCCAGATCAGATATCCAGGCCTGTAAATATGAGTTGCTATTTTCGTCCATACCAGAGATTAGAGTACTGTAAAATTTGGAGAGGAGGCCCCTACTTTGGTCATAGTTAGCTGCTATATTCTCTATAGTAGATAATGTGGGTTGTACAGTCGATCCCAGTATATTAGTAACGAAACTTCTAATTTGAAAAAATAAAAAAAAATGTCTCCTAGGCAGATCATATTTATTTGCTAATTGTTCAAAGGACATTAGAATTCCATCCTCGTACAGATCTTGTATTTGGCCTATTCCCTTGCTTTCCCAGATTTTAAAGCCTCTATCAGCACGTGCAGGTTTAACCCTAACATTACCCCAAATCGGCGACAAAGCTGACAGTTGCGACTCCTCATTTAAAGCTATATGTGCTTGGTGCCATATTGAAATCGTATTTCTAACCATAGGGTTTTTGTATTTTTCAGTATTCTTTTAGCTGTATCTGAGTAAACATAAGATTGTAATGGCAGTCCTATATTGTTATTCTCAATTTCAACCCAGGAAGGAGTCTCCCTAGTTGGAAAAGAGCAAGTAGCTGCACCTAACTGGGCTGCCCAATGGTACATCTTCATATTGGGCACTCCAAGCCCTCCACGCCCATAAGGTAAGTATAGCAGGGAGAGGCATAGCCTGGGTCGTTTGTTGTTCCAAATGAATCTGGAGAAAAGTTTATTCATTGATGAAAACATAGAGTCTGGGGTATATAGGGGGATGGACTAAAATAAGTAGAGAAATCTTGGTAGAATTGACATTTTCAACGTATTAATGCGACCTATCATAGAAATCGGCATCCCATCCCACCTTACCAATAGCTCTGAAACTTTTTGTATCAAGGGGTCATAATTAATGGGAACAAATTTCTTTATGTCAGGGACAATCTGTATTCCCAAGTAGGTAAAGCCTTCACAGGTACTGGTGAATTGTGTCTGGATATGAGGATTGTTTTTATTTAGAAATAACAGGGAGATTTTCTTCTGATTAATCTTGTACCCAGAGAAGTACCCAAAATTCTGAAGAATATCGCCCACTGCCGGAACCGACTTCTCTAGGTTAGTTAAAAACAGAATGATGTCATCTGCAAATAATGATACCCAATGTTCGACCTGACCTATTCTTATTCCATTTAATTCAGAGGAATTGCGTATCACTATAGCACGTGGTTCAATGGCCAAAAGAAACAATAACGGACTGAGTGGGCAGCCCTGTCGAGTAGACCTACCAAGTTGTATAGGCCTTGATATCTGATTGTTTGTTACGATTTTGGCTATCGGTTCCGTATATAACAATTGGACCCATTTCAGAAATTCTCCTCCCAAATCGAATCTCTTAAGGGTTTCAAAAAGATATCTCCACTCTATTCTATCAAACGTCTAATGATAAAAAGGCATGGTCAGTAGCAAATTGCTTATCCCACAGTATATTCGGAAGCCGACGAGTATTATAAAAGGCCTGGCGGCCCATAAAATCCATTTTGATAATCAGAAATTAATTTTGGAATGTATGAATTAATCCTACGAGCTAGGGCCTTACACAATATTTTAGTATCACAGGACATTAGTGATATGGGGTGGTATGAGGTCATATCTGTTGGGGCCTTACCAGGTTTTAAAATGACTGAAATAGATGCCTCTCTCAGAGATGGTGGCAAAATGCCTCTTTCATAGGACTCGTTAAACATTTCAAGCAGGTGTGGCAATAATTTGTCAGAAATTTTTTTATATATTTCAATTGGGAGTCCGTCCGGACCTGGGGCTTTGCCGCTGTTCATAAGACCCAGTGCTTCTCTGAGTTCCTCTATGCTCAGCTTAGCATTAAGGGCCTTTTTGGCTTCTTTGGGAAGGGTCGAAAATTTCAATCGGTCTAAAAACTGGTTTTGTGCATTTTCATTTTCATTTTCAGGGTATTCCGATTTATATAAATTTTCATAATACTTGGCAAAAGTGTTATTTATATTTTCCGGATCCATGATCTCTATTCCATCGTCCAATATAATTGAGTTTATGGTTCTTTCTGATTGTATTTTTTTTAGCCTCCAATCCAAGAGCTTCCCTGCCTTCTCCCATTGATCATAATAGGACTGCTTCAACCACATTAGATTTGTAGCTATCTTATTTGTGCTGAGTTCATTATATTCTGACTTTAACAGAAGGAGTTTTTTGTATTTTTCAACATCATTGTGGTGATATAAGTGGTCCTGTAATTCTTTAATTTGTTCTTCAAGTTCCTTTAGTTTGTTCAAATGGATTTTGGATTTGCTCTTAGTATAGCTTATCATTTATCCCCTTATATAGGCCTTAAAGGCTTCCCATCTTATTGATGCATTTGTTTGGTTCGTATTAAAAGTGAAATAATCATTTATCTTCCCATCTATGAATTTTACGAACTCTGTATATCTCAACCATTTTGCTTGGAAACGAAATGGGAGTGGCTGGAGTAAAAGGTACGGCAGTAGAAGAGATAAAATGACTGGGGCATGATCGGAAAGTAAAATAGCTTCATACCAGCATTTTTGTATCAGAGACGTTAGATTTGTTGAGATCAGGAAAAAATCAATACGTGAATATGTTTTATGGGTGCTAGAGAAACACGAGAACTCAGTTTTATTAGGGTGTAATAGTCTCCACACCTCCATCAAGTTGAGGTCCTTCATAAATTTCCCAATCATTGTTCTAGTTTGCTGGTGAGAGGGAGTAACATGGGTGTTTGATCTATCAACCACAGGGTTAATCACACAGTTAAAATCACCTCCTGTTATGTAATGGCCAGAATAAGAGGAAATAGTTAAAAAGAAATGCTGGTAAAAGTAGGATCATCTCCATTAGGGGCATATAAGCAAACCAGATTATTATATGAATTATATGTTGCTTTTAAAACATTACATAGGATTCATAACTCTTGCAACAAATTAAAACCTTCATAAAAGTCGTCTCTCACCAGTCTTCCATCCACTTCAGTGTTTGCAACACAAGTCTGAAATGAGGCGTAACTTTCAGGAAACTGGCCTTCACTGAAAACCTTGAGCAGACTGTTCTTCCCACAAGAGTGATCCCCAACCATCACTAGCTTCTTCCCCATAGCCATGGCTGGAAAAAACAAGCTAAACAAGTTTAGGATTTAGTAACCAAGAACCAAAACAACAGACTCAAAAGGAACCAGTCTGGTTTATTCACTGAACCAAGTCCTCACATACTTCCAAGTAGTAACAAGTAACAGCAGTCATACCAGCAAATCTGTCAGAATACAGATGCATCTTAAAAACTCAGAATATCATAAAAAATTTCAATATTGTTCATCATTCGTGAAAGGTAAACTCGTAGATTCAGTTACACAGAAACATTTCAAGCATTTATTCCTTGTAGTTCTCATGATTATGGCACCACAGATAGGAACCCAAACACCAGGAAAGGAAATGTCAGGCTTATAAAAAGGATGTTTTGTTTTGCACCAAAACTTTGTGGAACCTCTTTTTGCAACAAACTACTGCATCAATGTAGAGTGGAACGGAGGCTCTCAGCCAATGAACATATCCTTCGGGTCATTTGCATTTGGTGTCTAGATAATAGCTTTCCCAAATTACTTGTTTTTTCCTTACCGGCGCAAACACGGTTATGCTGCAGTCGTGCTAACGGGACTCGTCTGGAGTTCAGAAGTAGCGGTGCGGTTCTAGATGGATTTATAGATGTAGGTTAATATAGATGTAGGTTAATATTTTAGATCAGATCATGTTATTTAAAAATGCGCGTAGGACACAGTCATATGGCTCAGACCTTTTGTTGCAGCTGTAAACACAATTTTCTGTAATAATTAAGAGCACGAAAGTAAACAAAATACGGTCAGACACTAGCAACAGCAGCCTTGTTTAACGTGTTGGAGTGTCGCATGTGAAACACAGTACTTCATTCTCTGGAGGAGAGGATTTGGATTTTCTGTAATGATTTATGACTAAACTCCTTAACAAAATGAAAAACTGAACCTAGGTCATATAGATGGTAAAGTGTAGTTATACTGCATTCCTACAATTTTAATACCGAGTCTGGCCAATACCTTTAACTGCAGATTACGATCATTTTTCCAGGCTGTCATAGAATATCCAAATATAGAGTAAATTTCCTAGGTACTTCTTGGTCTTAACAGAAAGACAATTGCATTTAGCTATGACCATCAACCACAGTTATGAATGTTACCTCCAGTGCAGAGCTCCTAACCTCTGACTTCTTATGCAGCCTTTTATACTTCAGATGTACCAGTGAGATCAAGGGGTAATTTTCCTTCTTCATCTCTGTTTCCCACTCTCGTTGAAGCGATTTGTCCAACATATTTAGCAGTTTTACCAAAAATTTTATAGATTTGTATTCACTTTTGCAAATAAAAAAATAGTCTAATATAGCTATTGACTCAAAATGAATAATCTGTAAAATGAATCTGCCATGACACTTTTTATCAATTCAACTTCCATTTAATCAATTTTTTGCATCATGGTTATTTTTGCAAGCAAGAATCATGTTTCTTGTACATAAATCACAATCTCTGCAAATATTGTTCTGTGTAGGCACACATCAAACACTCATCACTCACTCACTCATTCCTGCCTGAGAATTAGGACACTGAGATTTATGGCTACAGTCTCTCTAAGCCAGCTCAGATCTCTGAGATGCTCCAAAAGGACTATCAAGGTTTCATTTGTTATAGCAAGCATGGCTTCTGCTGCTCATTGAGACTGAGAAGTCTTTACTGTAGATATCAGGATAACCGTGCTGCAGCTTCTATTTGTTTCTATGGATATGGGAGGCGAGTACTCCGATTGGCTGCTTGGCTCAGCCATTGGCAGGATTATTTCCTGGCTGTGGTGGTGCTATTGCTGCGCTGGTAGAAGAGCACATAAGCTTGATTGCTCTGCAGCTGCATCTCAGCAAGTGGGGTCACACTGCAAGTGAATAAAAAATATTGGAAATGATAAAGGTTTTGGCTCAACACCTCAATGCCTTTGAGAGGGTCATAGAGAGGGAAGTATTCTGGAGACGGCGCACCTGGAGTCGTTGTAGAAGCACCAACCGTTTTCATCTAAACAGCAGGCTGTGTAGTGGCCCATGTTCACAGTCCCAGCATGGTTACAGATAGCATATAAATTATACAGAACTGAGCCTGTAGAGACAAGCACAGAGGCAGAGGCTTTATTCAGCAGTAAACTAAATGTTCTGATGCTGTTGTAAGTTCTGTTGCTTTAGAGTTAAACTATGTGAACCATATGTCTTCAGCAGGTTCTATCTTTACGTAGAAAATGGAAAAATAGCCACGGATCACCTCTTAGTTCAGTTATTTGTGAAATTACTTAAAAGAAAATCTCAAACAATGCTTTCTTATTTAAAAACAATAACTGAGAGGTTTATTTTTTTATTTTGGCTTTTTGAATTTCTTGTTTTTGTCAAGTGTTTCTGCAAAAAAAATACAACATATTTCAGCATTTATCAGGATGACTGATAATCTATTCAGACATGTGAAATTGCACTGCCAATTCAAATATAAACATCATACAAAGCTTTGCATTGTGTCAAAGTCTTAATGTCTGCATTATAGGAGAACAGATCAATCATGAGAATAATATAGTTTAAATGCCCCATGTGCTGCAGATGAGCCATTCATTATAAAGGCAATAAACACATTGTATTTTATCACTGATTTATTATGCAGTTATACAACTACTTAATATTAATGTTAATAGTAAGTAATACATTACTAATCAGATACCCCCTGGCCCTTTGTCCTAACCTTAAAGACACTTAATAGTTAACATTATCGGGAACTTTATTAAAGGGATCATTTGTTTATAAATGCTTAATAATGCACAACGTAACGTTAATAAAGGGACCCTTATTGTAAGCGTTACCGATCTTTCTTGAGAAAAAATATTGATCAAATCCAGAAAAGAGTTAGGTACCGTTTCTGATTAGTCCTTTTTGTATTTTCATTCAATGTTTTCTGTTAAAAATGTGCTGGAAGCAACGTGACTTGGTGGATTAATAAATGCACAAAGAAAAAGTGAAATAGGTTTGTTTTACCACAGTCAACAGGTCCGTAGGGCCCGAGGTCCAGGTTCACGAGGGGAAACGACACGTACACCGTGCTTTTACTGATCGACCACCTGGAGGTTGTAAACCGATTCAGATCTGTTTGAGTCTGTTAAGTAAAAGCATCTCGTCTGCATTATTATTGTTGAAGTGAGCTTGGTTTCCAAGGATACGAATCACAATGACCTGGGGAAATCTCTGGATGGACAGGCGCTTGGTGCACTCTGTACGCCTGTTGCACCTCTCACACATCTGGAGAACATGGGAACAAACGCAGCGGAGCTTATTTTACAGAACTGTGCTTATGTTGGAAAAAGGACAAATCTAAAATATTTCTGACTCCGTTTTTACCTAAAATATTGTATTTGCTAAGTTTTTTATAAACAATGCATCAGACTTACTGGTGAATTTTCCTTGTCCAGCTTTTCCTCCTGAGAGAAGAGGTCCAGGCACTCCCGTAGTGTGACCTCCCCTCCAAAGCTCCTTTTGGGAATGGGCAGCGACAGATCACAAAACACATCAAACGTGTTGGAGTAGTGGGAGCAAACCGAGCAATGGAGCGAGCTCCTCAGCTGACCTGAGAACAGATCTGTCAAAGGATAGAGAAGGGATTTACTTTTGGTTTAATTCTGTGAAACTGATCAGAGCCAGTAACTGAATCCTCCTAACTCACCTACTATAAAACTGTCATCTCTCTCCAGTTGTTTCTTCCAGGTTGCAGAAGCTTCTTCAGAAATCCTTAATGACATCACAAATAAAAAGAGTCTAACATCTTTTCACATGGAGGAGCTGAAAATTGCACAAATGTATGTTCATGCTCACCTAATTCTGGCATATTTTTGCTCAGGCTCCTTCCCTGTTCTTTTTACATTGGGCCTGCGGTTTATTTCGGTGTGGAGCTTGTCCAGTAGGAACCTGAGGAACTCCTGAGCATCCTGTTGACTGGTTTAGAGGAGACTGAATGTCTTTTTTACTGTTACGGCTACATGATGTGCTGAGTTATAAGTTCTGTAGAAATCTGATGGTAATCTTATAGAAAAGAGAAAAAAATAAAAGCTGCTCTCACCTGTAACCACTGAAGTAAGGCACTGTTTCTTTAAAAATACTGTAAAACTGATGAGGGTTCACAACTTTTTCTCCTTCGGCTCTGTCCCAAAGGCCTGAGAGTACCCGAGAGAAAGCTAACACGAAAGGAATTAAAAAGAAAAGTTAAAGTTGTTGGACACTTATTTAGTCAATACATTTGCAGTGGTCTCCAGTAGGAATGAGTGCCTTGTAAGTCATCCTCTGTGGAAAAAAAAAAAACAAGGTGCACCATTTCCAGGAACTAGAAGTGAGCCACATCACAGCTGAGCTTCAGACGGCAGGTTTTGGAGTCTTATATCCTGATATTTGGACATTTCAATCAATCAATCAATCAATCATAAATCAATCAATCAATCAATCAATCAAAGCTTTATTTATAAAGCGCCTTCCGCAACCCTGTCAGGAAGCCCAAAGCGCTGAACATGGTACAGTTGTAGGTAAATATATTGAATAAATCAACAATAAAAGCAATTCAAATTACAAAATACAAATTACAAAATACAAATTACAAAATAGAATTTACAAGATAGATGAAACATTCTGGTACAGGACAAATGTGTGATGGACAGAGTGAACCAATGAAAACTGTGAAATAAATTCAACATAAAAGAGGGCCAAAATCAAACAAGTTCTAGAAACGCCAAGCGAAGGAGGTGTGTTTTTAGGTGACTCTTAAAGACTGGCAGAGATGGGGACAGCCTAACTGAGGGTGGCAACTGGTTCCAGAGTAACGGTCCTAGGACTGAGAAAGCCCGGTCCCCACAGGTACGACACCTAGAACGAGGGACAGCGAGCAGGCCTTGGTCAGAGGAGCGCAGAGCGCATGATGGGGAATGTTTGTTCAGGAGAGTGGCCAGATAGGGGGGACCACCACCCTGGAAGAAATGATAAACAAAGACGAGGATTTTGAATTGTGAGCGATAGCAAATCGGAAGCCAGTGCAGGGAGGCCAGAACCGGACTGATGTGGTCCCGTTTCCTGGTCCCAGTCAGGAACCTGGCGGCGCTGTTCTGCACAACCTGTAGGCGACGCAGTGATGACTGACACAACCCTGCATAGAGAGAGTTGCAGTAGTCAAGCCTAGAAATTACAAAGGCATGCAGTACCCGCTCCAGGTGGGCTCTCGACAGCATATGCTTGATTTTTGCAAGGCGTCTCAGGTGAAAGAAACTGGACCGGATCACAGAATTGATGTGAGCATCAAATTTAAGTCCAGCATCAAGTTTCAACCCCAAACTGGTAACAACTGGTTTTGAGAATGGAGAAAGAGGGCCAAGATCAACATAACGATCCACATTTCAACTCAGACTGGATAAAAACGTGACTCTACCACTGAAATCAATGTTGATGTTTTATCTCCACAAATAACACAAGCCTGGAGAAGCTTCTGCTGTGTGGTGGAGCTGCTAATGCTAACGGTTAGCTTAAACTAGCCAAGGCGTTATCTGCTGTTTCCTAGTCGCTAAAACAACATCAGCCTTCCCCGTTGTGCGTAAAGATGGGTGAGTTCATGAATTTTAACCGACAGTGTGATGTTGATCTGTCAGGATTTTCAAATCCTAGAATTTCACCGTCTATTTTCTATCAGAAGCTAAGGCAGCAGATAGGTGTAGGAGACTATTTTCATGTTTAGCCTGCGTGAAAAACTCAGAGTGACCAATTATAATCAGAAATAAGATTTGAAAAATGTTTTTTCAGTGTCCCACACCTTTAACGTGGAGTTAAACATGTTAAAAACAGCACAAGTGAACAAAGGTAAACGCACCTTCCATGAGTTTCGCCTCGTCTTTGGAGAACTTCTCACATTTGTACGACTTGAGGAGGCAATAGTTTCTCAGGACGTGTGTGTGAGACAAACACTGGAGCACAGCATTCAGGAAACACTGACAAAGGACAAAAAGGGAAAATGAGATTCATGCAAAACACATTTTAAAGATGAACCTCTCAAAAGCTCCGCCTGACATCTTTCCACACTCACCGAGTTTCCTATGTTTCTGAGGCCAACTCGTCCGCTCCCTAAAACAAGATTCTCTTTCTGTCAAAATAAAACAGAACTTTAAAATCTAAAGTCCTGCAGCATGTTTCAGTTTAAGAACTAGATTTGTGTTTGACCCCTGGCTGTGACTTCTACCTAATATGTTAGCATGTGTTTAACTTTAGCAGGGATGGATTTAGCCTCCTTATCTCATTAGCATAACAGGAGAGGTTAAAACAAGGTCAGTATGAAGCATTTATCCTATTAGAGGCCACAAGGGACTGCTGATAGGTACGTGACCACGTGCATTAACACCTTCACATGCTTTATTAGTCTGTGTTTACATTTCTCATCTGCATCTGATAAAACCCACGCTTAAGATCACATGTGTAAAAAAGCTGGGGTTGATGGTTCCACACCTCGTTGTCAGTGACCAGGAGCAGCCCCATCAGCGAGGTGTAGAGCACGGACTGGGAGATGTCGGCCGTTTCTCTCTGCAGGCCTTTCTGAGACACCAGGGTTCGGCATAAGGCCTCACAAGAGCCTTCTACGTTGACCCCGCTGGATCCAGGCATCCTGTTATTAACTTCTGTCTGCAGATGACATCAGAGGTAAACATTACACAAATGCTTGTTTGTTTTTAAATAAAGGCCTCCTGGTTTGGATCTTACATCAGCTGAGTGGTCTCCTGTTGATTTCACATGTGAGGTGAAAGGTGAGCAGGATGCTGTGGTGTTGCATAAGCTGGAAATAAATACTTTCCCTTTCCAGGTAGTGAAGTGATGCTTCTCACACCCTCGCAGGTGAAAAAACACTCAGCTGCAAGGAGAAAACATCACGTGTAGAGGTGTAGAAATGTTTTTAAAAAATCAAGTTGCTGCAGAGGCTCTAAATAAATCAAACGTTTTTAGAGATTTTCCACCAAGATTCACAAACTAGGATTAAATTTCCATATAAGTCTCAGTTATGTAATCCTGATTCTAGAAAGCACCACGGATCCATTTAACCACCTACTCATGCCAAGCCCTTCCTGTTTCATTCAGGTAAACCTCTCGCAAAGTTATTTTACAAACGATTCCTGACTAATATCATCAACAGCATCTGCCTATGAACAAAAACACAGAGCGATTTGGACTCACCCGATATCTCCTCTATCTGTGGACGAAGTGTCCGAACCAAACTGTTCCCATCGTCTGCTGAGCTGTTAAAAATGCATAAGGGAACGTCTACGGTTTCACTGTGTTTGTGGGCTAGAACTGAAAGTCTACCTCTCTCCTCTGCCCTGTCACTAGTGTCAGAGAGGGAGAGTGAAAAACACCAGAGGGAGGGATGGAGGAGAATAATCAGCTCTAATCTTTTTCTTTGTGGATCTGCGTTGGCCCAACAGAGACGTGTCATTGTGTAACTTCCCATGAGCACCTCAACAAACGCTTTGGCATGTCAGTTTATTAAAATACAATAACAAAAACAAAAAAAATGCATTCAGTTCACATTCATTAATAATGATTTCCAGTCATCATGATACATTCACAAAAAAGTAAAAAACGAAATTTTAAAAATGCATGAAATTATTTGTGTCTCTCAGTTCCACGACTCTTCCCATTGATCAGTCAGCGACTGGTGAGGTCTGCCATGTCCGTGTCCGAGCTGAGGCTGAGCTCAGCTATGTGACACAGGGTGGGATCAGGGTGCAAGGAGAGCTGCGACTGGCTGGTCTGGGCCGACCTGTCCCGAGACTGAACGATGGCCTGGCGCAGGCTGGTGATCCACTGCTGCTTGCTGAAGGAGTCGTTGGCCTGCAGGCAGTAAGGGTTGACTTTAGAGCGCCCCCTGCTGCTCACACGGAAACAATTCTTCACTGCAAGAAGACAAAAAAGGAGGAAGGAAACTGAGTGAAAGCAAGAGTACTAGGTTTTAGTTCAAGTTCAACAAATTAAATAAGAGTGACATAGCATTCTGCTGCATTATTTAGACCAAAATAGCAGATAATTTCATCAGAAAACTAAGAACTGAAAGCAACTTCAACTTCTGGTCAAACATTTGGAATTGATTAATTTTTATTTAATTATATACAACAATCAAGTTACATCTAAAATAAAAGTCATTAACAGTTCATAATATATGAATAAAAATAGAGCTGCTGTCTAAAATGAACCAAACTGTATGTTACCTTTATCATTGCCCCCAGTGAACGCTCCTCTGAAGGTTCCTCCTCCTGCTGCTTCACCATCTGGGATCTCCTCCAGATTTATTAAAGCGTTGGGCAGAGGCTGGCGGTACACGTGGAACTTCTGCCCGCCCTCTCTGTCCTCCCCTGGTCTGCTCAGCACCAGAGCCAGCTCAAACAGGAACACATGCAGCCGCTTACATAAAACACATGATACAAAATGAAATGACAGCATGAAAAACAACAAAAAAAAATCTCAAACCCTCTAAGTTCTTCTTCACACTGAATGACTCAAACACACCTGTCCCTTATTGTTCTTGAGTTCTCCGTGGCAGAAAAGGAAGCGAGACTGTTGGATCTCTGATAGTCTCTGACTCTCCTCGAGGTAGACGAGACCCTGCCTGTAGAACTGGCACTCTGCCTCCCCCGTCTTATTGTTCACCACGGTCACAATGCTCTGGATCATGTCCAACTGCATGAAGACACAAGACTTTTATTGTACAAAATATATATTATAGACATTATATTAGAGCTGTTAATTATTAGTCATTTATTATTTCCTGACATTGAAATTTTTTTTGTAATTTTGAATGTAATATTGGCTTTTATTTTGAAGGGAAGAGTTATTATGTGAACTGTACAGTTCTATGATGGCGTTAAGTTGAAAATAAGATTTAAAAAATCTGCAAAGACGCTGACATGTTTTAACTAACAATACAAAAACTCCAGCTTCAGTCTGGTTCGCTATATCCCAGACGAGCCCCCATTTATATTATGACCCAGTTTGTGGAACTGCATAATAAAATGGATACTGACCACGTTTGCTGTTATTTAGGCCTTTTAAATGGTGATTTTTAATAAAAAATATTCCCAATGTGTGTCCAGTCTACTTTTTATGTTGCGGTCCCACCAGACAGGTCATTAAAGTGTAAAAAATGTGTAAACTCATAGAGTTTTGCAGCTTTTATTAACATACTTGTAAATAAATGACTCAATTATGAAAGTTCTCACTGGCTTTGTAAAATTACAAACCACAATCTGAGTCCAAAGTCTGAAAGTCCACAGAGTAATCTCTTAAATTGAATGGTTATGTGAAATATTCCTGATCTGAAAGATCAAATGGACTCACAGCATCAGGTAACGTGTCTTCATCCGGGTGCTCTGGAGGCGTGCACTTCTGTATCTCCTTCAACAACAGCGGGTATTTGACTAGGCGACTCCGAGGGAGGTCCAGAAAGTTCCACAAGTCCAATTTCCTGCTAAACGATGACTCCTGACACAGGCGCAGGAAGTGCTCCACTCGTTTCTCCTGCTTCTTCTGGTCAAGCAGGGCTTTGGCCACCACCTGATTGCAGCAATATGTGACGTAAGCTTCCAGGCAGGGGAACTGAGCAGAGGGATGGAGGAGGGGATGAGAGTGATGCATAAAAGAACACTAAAAACATTCTAACACTAGTTTCTATGGAGACACTCACCCAGTTCAAAAGGGTGGGCCCCACCTCTCCAACCGTCTTCTCTGATCCTCTGAGACATTCTAGGCGCAGTAAGAGATCTGTCAGAGACAGAGATAGCACAAAAAATAAAATTCTCTACTTAACTTTATTCAAGAATAAAATGTTATATCAATAGACAAACATTTGAACTCGTTTGTATAAAAATATGTGGTTCAGCTTTATTAAAAAAGATGCACAAACATGATTTCACCAAAACTGAAGATAACATTTTATCGTCAAGCGCCACTTATAGCATGATCAGGAAATGTAGTGTATTGAAGCATGATTAGAAGCTGAGATAAGGAGAGGCAACATGCAGAGTTCACACAATTCACCTTCATGCAGGGGAATGAGGGAGTCCAAAGTACCAAAGATGTGTCCGAGCTCGCTCTCTGTCATTATGTCTAGCTTCAGCATGGGTTCGTAGTACACCTAAAAAAAGGAGAAGTGATTTAGCTGCACACTAAATTATTCCATGTGAGTGGATTTTAAACAAGCACCTTCTTGACCAAACTCAGGTCTTCTATAAGCTGCCTCTCTCCTTGAGTCAGCTCGTAGATCACCTGCAGGCAAAGTTTGAAAAATCGGTTATGCTAATGAAAGTAAAGCTAATTCCCACACAGCTGTGGTGAGATGCAAACTGCACAGCAGGACTGCAGAAGCGCTCACAGCTGATTGTTCAATAAAGGAAGTTGAGGCTCTAGTGCCAGCTCACATCCTCTTTCATAATGCCCATGCAGAGAAACTTTAGAGAAACACACAGCATCTCACATACAGTTCAACCACAACACCTCCCCCCTTAAAAGGAAAACTGATTTTCTAAAAGACATTTGTTTCTCTGCTGATGCTGATTGAAGTCCACCGTCCTATCACCTCTTGACGTTTGATCTCCTTGGCTGTGAGGTTGTGGCTTTCCACAGTGTCGCTCCAACACTGGCTGTTGCGCCGACGCGGAAACGACGAGGCCTTGGCGCGGGTACGCAGGGCAGTTGGGGGCAAAGGTCGGGCATCTGTGCGAAAGCTGATGGATCGCTGCGAGAAAGGAAAGAGTGGCTGGTTGTCCGGGAGCTTTACGTGTAACTAAATGAAAATAAATTGTTATATTACCGAAATGGATTGGCTGATGCGTTTCAGAGCGGGGGTCTTCACGGGGGTTAGGACACCTGTTAAGCTGTGGGACTTCCCTACAGGTTTGACTCTTTTATTACTGGGCTCCTGCAACAGGAAACAACAAAACACATTCAATCTAATAACCTTCTACAAGCTCATCAGGGAGAAAAGCAAAAACAAAACTAGGTCAGTAACCTCAGGATCCTTCATGTGGTCTGATGCAACGTCCCCCTCATCCTCTTCCTCTTCATCCTGATAGCCAGAAAACAGTGAAACTGAGCTCGACATGGCAGATTTCAGGACAATGCAAAAAGAGAAATGTAGAGGGGGTGAGAGATGATGCATTTTGTAGATCTCTCATTTCCTGTTCAAGGCTTTCGAAGAGGAAGAAGGCTGAAACCAGCTAAATACAAGATGTCTGCTTGTTTTTACCTCCACTAACCACATCTGCTGTGTGTTAATGAGGCAACAGAGAAACACCAGCAACTAAAAGGCCTCCCATATGCACAAAAGATCACAACTACCCTTCAAAAGTAGAGAACTAAAGGTTGGTGTGATAAGAGAGGCTGTGCTGAACACGACATTCATCTTTTTAGTCAGTTCTGACTGTGGTCACAAAGGTAAGGCTGATTAACTTCCACTAGTTACTAAGAAAAGTAGTCTGCAGCTCTGTGCATTTCAGATAATTACTCACCTCTAAGATTCTGATAACAGTCTCTGGGGCCAGGTCTTGTTTTCTTTTCTTCTAAAAGTAAAAAAAAGCATGTATTAAAATTAAGTTTCCTGCACCTTGAGATGATTTAAAAATGACAAAACGATGTAGTAGCTCACCCCAGCATGGTCACAAGGGACGGGGTATGTATCTCCTGACACTGCTGACCTGAAAAGGTCATGAAAGAAATTTACAAATATACACGGTAGAAATGAAAGCTCCCGATTTGCTTTTTTGCGAGAAGTTTTCATGTGCGAGGCTGTGCAAAAACAGCATGTTGCACAACTTTATATTTGTGAGAATAGTAGTCAAGTCATTTTGATGTTGAGTCTAATCTGATAGAAAACACTTGAACTAAAGCAGCACAATGAAAGCAGAAGCCATCATACCAGGAATTCCTCGTTTCAGCAGGTTCCTCCACTTCCATCTTGTCAAAGCATCTTCACAACAAAACAAAAATCAACATACATCTTCAAGAGAAATAATCCCAACTCAAGCCGGTCTTGTGTTATCACACTGCCAGAGAGAGCGGTGTGCATTCAGCTTATTTAAAGTTCAGAACTCCTTCCTCTCCAGCAGCAGCCCACATCCTTTACGGTTGCACATAATCACGTATCCGCTCTACTCAGGGAGGAGCACTCAACTTTTATTTATGCAACTTCTCACAGAAATTGATCATTTGGCCTGAATTTTAGAAATTAGCTGTGACAGACACAAAGTGAGATTAAATATGTTACCCAATTAAATGCCTAAATAAAAAAAAATTGTTAAATATTTTTAATTAAATACAGCCTGTGGTGGGATTTTCCACTGTGAAATGAGGTTGGTGATAGAAGCTGCGCTTCCTGGATGAGTTTTGCAACCCCAAAAAATAAAAATAAATAAAAAGGTCACAGGAGAACTGATGAAAATGTGGCACCATGAGATGTTTCCATAAATACATTGTGATAAGAAAATAGTCACTTTCATCTTTTACATGTTTATTCACTATCACACTAAGTGCTCCCATTTCAAGGTACATGTCAATGGCTTGCTCTTACACTGTTGGTGGATATGAAACTTAGAAAAACGATTTATGATCTAGCGGGTGTGCCACAACTGTTCACTCATACCCCCCAAATAAAATAGAATACAACAAATCATAAAATAAAGAAAAACTGATGTCATGTGCAAGAACCCGTCTGAAGCCACAGAAGAAAGTGGTGAGGGTGTAGGAGGAAGGGCTCCCGTGAGAAGCTCTAGTCAGACACAGCTTTTGGGCTAGCTTGGCTTTATTTAGGAGGTGAATCTTTGAAATAACAAACAAGCTGAATGAATACAAATTCAACATTCATGGGGAATCAGGTTAATGAGACGTGGCTAGGAGGAAAGAGCGAGGAGGTGGATTAGAGGAAAAACCCAATATCTACTGGTTTAACTGTGAGGATGTTTTGTTTCACGGGGATTCCAGCTGGGCTCTGGAATACTGAGACACCACTAAGGCTCTTTTACGGCTAGAGGTTTTACTACTGAAATTAATCTTCAGTATACGTGCTCCTTTCCTCCAACACCCCGGTTCTCATAACCAAACAGCAACTGGATCCCGAACACGCATACAGGTATTCTTTAGTCGACTTGCTGGGGCTATGTACAGTCAGGCACAGGTTTACAAATAAACCACAGGCCCAGAAATTAAACCGATTGATCCAGTAGAGCCCAACCACCCACTTAGAACCCCCTCTTCTCCTGCATCTCCCCCCAGCTGTGGCTGGCTCAGCGGATGGTGTATCTGACATAGGGCACTTCCACGTCTTCATCTGACAAGTCGTTACAGCAAAGCTCAAACACCAGGGCCTTCACGTGTTTGCCCAGCTTCTTTTTGGACACCTTTGTCACAATCTCAGTCATCCTGCAAAATACATAAAACACGACAGAGACCTGAGTTTAAATATCACGAGGAAACTTATGCACCATGAGCAGGAGAAGTGCAGGGGAACTCACGGTAGGTCCAGTCTCTCTTTAAGTTTGGCAGCAGGCATGAAAAATGAGTAGAGCATGGACACTCCCTGAGAAAGCATGGTGATCTCCAACTTATGCTCGTTCTGGAAAATATGAAAGGACAATCATTAAACTTTTTCAGAAATCAAAATAAAAAAGAGGCAACATGAAAAACTAAAACATACTTTAAAGTAGTCCAAAAACTGTCGGAGTGTCATTTCTTCCCCGTTAGGCTGCAGCCCTGTGACCTCAAAGCGATCCCAGAGCGTCCAGTCGATCTCGTAGTACTGTTAAAAAAGACACAGGTCATCAGGAGCTGCTTGAAATTTCAACACAAACATTTAGACGTTCATAATTTCTGCAATGAATGAAGAGCAGGCTTGTTAAGTTAATCAGTTTCTCCTCAGCACACACTGATACCATCAGCGTGAGAAGGTGAGTTGCACTCATGTACACCCAGACAGACGTCGTGCACCTGCCTGGTGCATCAGTATTAGCATGGCTGGATCATCACCGGAGTCCTAACTTCCCAACACTTTAAAAGAAAGCACAGCAGGTGCACTCACCTTATGTTTGGGAGCAGCGATGGGCTCAGAGAAGCCGAAGAAAGGCAGAGCCAGGTTCATGAACCCGTTTTTGTATGATTCCAGCTTTTTGTGACCTTGGACAATCTTGATGAGCTCCAAGCACACCAGGCCGACCACCGCGGATGTGGTGGTGGCAATAGCAGGAATGATTTTGCCAGCAATCAGTTTGCTCTGGAAGCAGCAGAAGAGATTAGATTAAGGATAAGAAGATAGTTTATAGGGAGAGTGGAGTTTAAACTGCATCAGCCGCTCCTCACCTTGTGTCTGTCAGCAGGTGGAATGTCGTAGTTCTCTGCCCTCAGGTTAGAGGCTGCTACAATGAAGTCCATGTGGAAATTTGTATCGTCGTCCTGTTAAAACAAACCCATGTTCATAAACTAGAGGTGCTGAAAAAAAAAATCGATTCAAGTCTGAATTGGGATTCTTATTTATAAAGATTCAGAATCGACCCCAAGAACTCAAATGTTTGGCATGTTACAGGTTTGAGATGCACTTTTGTCTGTTTTTTTTTTAATCTTTGTTAGGAGAGTTAGTACTCTGTTTACTTTTGTGGTCCCATAAATTGAGATGATTTCTTTTTGAATCTGCTGATAAGTGGGCACTTGAATGTAATTTTTCCATACTAATTAATTTGAGATATTTTCATATTTATTTTCTAAGTTGATAAGTGAGGGCTCAGGATTACTCATGTATTTATTTGAAGTTATTGATAAATGAGAGAACACATTTTCCTTTGTAAGAAATCTAAGGCACTTTTTTTAAACAGGTTGAGGATTCAAATGTTTCCACACATACTTGAAAAGTATTTGACCGTATTACTTTCAAAGCTACTGTCAGGTAACTAAAGATGTGTTATATTTTACAAGGTAAGCAAAAATAAATGTTGCCTTTTAGTCAAAAGATTGCTTCCGTTTACGGTTTTAGAATCACTTTAGTTTACCTTGTAAATTTGCATTTTTTGAGCATGACCAGTTTAAAGTAAAATAAAAATGTCCATAGCTTTAACTAACTTGTACCACAAAGTATTTAATCCTAGAACTGACACTCTTTGTTAGCATTGATTGTGAATTGGTTTAAATCGAGAATCGATTCTGAATCGAACAGACACCCAGAGAATCTAAATCGAATCAAATCTTGAGTTGCTCTAAGATTCATATCCCTATCATACACACACCGGAGCTGAAGGTAATGGCACTTATTCTGATGAGACATTGGCTCTGTTCACTCAGGGAGCCAATAATTACTGTCAATTGTTTTAATTTCCATTTTGAAAGAATCATAATCCTACAGATTAAGTCCTAATATTTTAATCTAATTAATCTGGTTAAAAACAGAACTCAAGACATCAGTAAAGGCAGGATTTGTTTACATAACTGTGACAGCAAAGGGATGCAAATATTTGTAACGTGCCAATAACAGTCTAAAACAACATTTGCATAACCGCTACAGCACACGTCTGAGTACAGAGCACCTTTAACAATAAACTCATTTAGAAGGAAACTTTATTTTAGACTTATTCTCACTTGTAAACCAAGCATTAAACCACACAATAAACAATCCCACTCTAAGCCCAAAGCAGAGAAACACAACGTACCTTTTCAAAGTCAATGGCATTGAGTTTGAACTGGAAAGCCTCAGGCAAAGGCAACTGGGACTTCAGTTCTTCCAGTTTGGAGTCATCTGTACATCGAGAGATTGATGGTTACGTCACTCCCAGATGAATGGTGTAGAGTCAGTGACTATAAACTTTTCCACATTGGTCTTACCAACAGAGGAATTACTGTTTTGCAGCTCCTGATCAGACACGTGGATTTTTACGCCCGAGCGAGGAGAAAAAATCGGCACCTTAACATCCTGCAAGATCTTGACCACTCCGGCACGGTCGGTGCTGCCTGGCAGGCCGTACGTCTGAGCAAACAGGTTAGCTCCCGCCACGACGTAATCCATGTGAAGCTCCTAAGACCCAACACCATGAATTCTTGATGTGATACAGATATGCTGCAGAGTTATGTTCATTCCTGAAGATCACTAGAAAACACACTTACGTTGCTAGTGCTGAATTCTAAGGGGTGAGGACATCTCTTTGGGCCAGACCAGAAGGGGGCACCTGAGCTCGTGAGCTGGAAGAGATTATGGCTGTTAAGACACAACATTCTAAAATGTATACAATAAATACTGGTGAAGAATTGAGCTAAAAAGGCAGCTGATGTATTAACAATGGTTTATAACATATTAACTGTAGGTGAAGAGTGGCACAAGGTCCATCAGAGGATGGGGACAATCTGGACTCAAACTTCTAACTCAACTTTTCTCCGGCTACAGAAAAAAGTCTGAAGCTAATCCAGACATGACACCAGTATTTACCTGCTGTGGGGGGAAATTGTGCAGTAACTGACGAATGTTGTTGCTGTATTGGCACTGCCAGTGGTTGCGAGCCCAGGCGACGCAGTCAGCCCAGCTGTGGGGACAGTCTGTGACCAGGGTCTTGTACACGGCCTCCAGCACCTCCACAGGTTGAGCTCCAGGGAGTTTTAGAGTGCGCTCCATAAACTTAGGATCTCTGCAAGGTTTACAAGCATAACAGCGGTCATTTTGCATTTTATCATGACTGTTTAACCAAAGTCAAATCTTACTAGCAGACCTTTTAGCTAATACTTTTAGATATGCTGCTCTGACCACAAACTCCAAAGACACTCAACATCACACAGTAGCTATAACCCAAAAAGTATGACAGACACTCCACAGAGGAAGTAACTTACGTGAGGTACTGCATAGCATTTTCTGGAGACTGTTTGAAAAGTCCCTCGAACTCATCCCGGGCCCACTGAACAGAGAAGAAACAAAGATCAGCCACCAAGTCCACTCATGTTGGAGTTTGCATCATTGAGCTCCTGCTGACCTGCAGTGTGTGCTCGATGGCATTTGGGAAGTTTTTCAAAGTACAGATGGGGATGGACTTCTCAGGGGGGTCTTGGCTGGAGCTGTAGGACTCTGTGAGGAAGGGGATGACGACCTGGACATTGCCTTTGGTACCCAAAGTGCCTGACTCCAACAGGGGTTTACGGTAGTACACACACCTCCGATCCATGTACATGCCTTAGTGTAAGGAATACAAGCAAAGCAAAGGAGGTGTAAACACAAACAAGCAGCTATAAAAAGATGGTTTGTAACAGAAAAAAAGCCAAACTGCATTCCTTCATCAGCGTGCGCATGTTTAAAGCAATTTAAAGTTCATCTTACGTGCATCAACATTGTCTAGTGCATTGGCGACGCCATCGAGGCTCTCAAAGAAGTCATCATCGTAGACCTTCTCCGTGTCGGGGCCCACTCGGTTCTGATGGCCTGTGATGTTGATGGAGGGGTTCATCTTCTTCACCGCTGCAGCAGCTGTGTCACTCTTCATTTTCTGTTGAAATATATAAAAACTAGATGTGAACGCAGCCAAGTCACTAATGAACTTCAGAATGTTATTTTAATAATGCAACATTTAGTAAATTCTAAAGAGGTAAAGGTAACAACACACCTTCCTGCTAGTGATGCGTGATTGATGAGTATTCATCAGCAGTTTAACTATTAACTGAACTAAAGCATCAAACAGAACACCAGGAGTTACTGTTGGCTGCAGAAACAACTCGATGATCCTTCAGACAAACAGACGTTTACTGAGCCAGATATTTAAAATGTTGACACATCAGTGCAGAACACCTGATGCCATTTTTCAGCAACCAGTTTCGTTTCTGTCCCTAACAGAATTGATGCATTTATGAAGACAGACTCCTACAGACAAACAGGTCCATGTCCTGCACTGCTGGACGCAGTTGGATTTCCTCGACCGAGCGCGTCTACAACTCCAGACATTTCAGGATGTGCTGTTCAGCCCGTTTTAAAGCATATTCTTTAGTGGAAAGACCCTGTTGATTTAATGTGACTACTGTGTGTGTGTGTGTGTGTGTGTGTGTGTATGTGGTGGTAGTAGTAGTAGTAACAGTGAGTAGTCCAACATAAAAAAACGGCAGCAGTCTGGATGTCTCTGATATTTTAATTTAAACAATTGCTAGCGCCCGTTTGGTGATGATTAATAAATAAACATCCAGACGTAGTGCATAAACGACTGACACCTGTTTGTGCTTTACATCTGAGCTACTGAGCGGTCGGTGATACTAACAGTAACATCTGAGGGTCTGAAGAGGAACTGTCTGTTGAGATTAGATTTCTCTATGGTGTCCATGTCGGTCACAATGACCTCGCCGTTCCCACTCGCCAGTCCAATCATGGCAAAGTTTTTCAGCAGCTCACAGCCGATGGCACCGGCTCCCACCTGGAAGGATTTCAGACAGAGGATGCAGTGAGTCAAGCTACAAGGGCCATTTCTCTACATACATACCTGCAGCATGCCCCCCCGGAAAAACATTGGACATTTTATATTTAAACGCATCAGTCTGGTGCATTTTTGGGGGGAAAGTAGTTACAGGCTGGCAGCTATGTATGATGAAGTATCTATACATGTTCATTATAATGACATATTTGAGTTAATGTTTTCCTGTCCTTTAATCCATTATGAACACAGACTACAGTGAAATCCACTAATGCATCCATGCTGCTCAGTACCAGAACTGCACTAGATACCAAAAGAACCAATCAGCTGGTAGGGCTCGATGATGAACGTGTGAGCTGCAGAACTTGAAAAACTACGTGACACAATTTAAGGAACAAAGTAGAATCCAGCTGCTGTTATTTATTTGTTGTTGGTGTTCATAGAAACTAAATATATCTGCAGGGCTTTAGGCCCAGGGCAGAGTTTTATACCTCAGACCAGCTTTAGATCATGACCCGTTATTAATAACATGTTCTTTACACCAATCTGAATATTCTGTAATGTTCACAGACATCCACACCGTAGAAATTAAATATAATCAATATTAAAATAAAAATTAATATAATTTTTTCATCAAGATTAGTTATCTGTTATACTTATTTACATTTGATGGTAATATGATTAATAATATTTAATCTCATCTTCCATCATTTGTGGGTTTAGTGCATTCCCTTAATATTAATTATAAAATTACAAATAACAGGTCACTAGTCTGGGCATAGACAGTGTTTCTAGGAACTAACGCTTGTTCAGCAGCTCACCTGTTCCACTGACAGGAGAAATCCTCTCATCAGCAGGTGATCAGCAGAGCGTCATGACTGAACACAGGCCCGAAAAAAACAAAGAGACAACTAAAAACACCGACCTCAGATCGGCCCACCGGGAATTTGGGTCCTGGTTCCGCTCATTACGTTAACTCTCATTGTGATATCAGAGCTTTATTGGCTCTGTTAGAATCCCAACGCCTGGTGCGGGCGCAGTTTGTTTGTGCGCACCGTGGGAGCGAGCAATGAGCGCACGCGTTTTTGCAGCTTGGGCGGTGCAGAAACACGTTTCAACAATACCGGTGCGCGTTTCAATTAGAAACAGGAGAGAGCGAGAGACTACTAAACCCAAGCGAGCGCAATAAGAGATTTTGACTGAACTTTTTTCTGATTATTCCAACTGACAGATTTCCGTCGCCACGACGGAGAACTCAATTCCTGCTTTAACCCATGTAAGGCCAAAAAATACAAAATTATTATTAGTCTGTGTACTTTTAAAGTTACTGTAGTGCCACCGTTTTCAGACATTTTTAAAGGCACTTCCTGTTTAAAAGTCCCTATTGTGACTCACCAGGAAGTAGCGCTGGTTGGCTAGCATATCCTGAAGCTTTGTGCCAAACACGGCGATCTGCCCGTCATAACGACAGTTCCTCTAGAAAAGCAGAGACGTAAAAATAAAAAAAGGTTAACACCGAGGTTTTCCTCAGCAGTCGTGTGGTTTTGTCTTCAGTGAAAAACACTTTAATATTCTCTGAACACTGACAGGCGAGCACTCTTCCTCTGTGAGCATGACGTCGTCCCCTTCAGACAGACACTCCAGAGCATCAAAGTACAGCCACTGCATCACAGGCATAAATTTCCCCGTAGAGGCCTGACAGGACACAGAATGTAAAATATTTAACAAACTTATTTGTACTGATCACTTTGAACATTCAAGTCTGGTTAAAAGGTTTTGGATTTTTATTCTGCAGCTCTTAGTTTATGCATTTTCCTCCAACCTTCATCACTTCTTGTGCAGCCACGCCCCCGATGAAGGCATTGATAGGAGAAAGATCCCCGGCGGCGACATAAGCCATCTTCTTGATGAGCGCTTCGTTCAGCTGCTCCACTTTGGCAGAGCCCGTCTGAGCAGAGTTCACCTCCTTGGCCAAAGTCAGTAACTCTTCACCATCAGCCTGGAAAACACAAAGCTCAGCAATTTACCAATCTCACTAAATCAAATACACACTGGCACTGCCCATGCATTCTGCTGAGTTATCACCAGGGCTAGCCATTACAAAGGCTTCCAGGATAGCTCCTGTGGAGCCAGTCAATCAAAAATATACGTTAGATACTAAACCTCCAACTATGCAGTCGGACAGATACCTGGCTCCAAGGTGCCGGAAGGCGGCTGTGTTTCTTCTGGAATGCATGGATCGCCTGGAAGCCTGCATGAAGTTGTCCTGGATGGTCAAATTTAGCAAAATCTGTCAGCATGAACTCTGGCTCGGCCATGGAGGTGCAGATGGATTTCTGCAGAGGAAAAGTGATGGTTATGTGCTGATTAGTTGCAACATTAGAAATGACAGTGGCACCTCGAATGCCCTCTAACCACTTACAAAACTGATCTTCTTTGCCATCTTAACTTGGGTGACGATCCCTCCTCTGATGTAGTCGGAAAAGCCTGTCGTGTCACAGATGCTGAAGGTGTATGGACCCAGGACTTTGATTTCCACTGGCTGACACCCGTTGAGCTCTGTCATACCCTGCACCTCTGTGAAGGTGACGTGGTCTCCACTCTCAAACCCGTGACGAGCCTCATCCAGACATGTTACAACACCGGCGCTGTCCTAAAGACACAGATCAGCAACCTTCCTGTTAAAGTCAATCGTCTTTTATGTGACAAACATGAAAGGAACAAGCTAACCTTTGTGATCATGGAGATCATGGCACTAAGCGGCTGCTCTCCGTTGGTATCATATACTACCATCTCCTCCCCAAAGTCACAGAACAGTTGACTACAAGACGAAAGAAACAGAAAATAGTCTAACAACTGGCTTTGTACTGAAGTCAACAGAAAACATAAAAACAAGAGTGAGCTTTACCCAAATAGGCCGCGTGTGTCTGCAACAACCAGCTTGATTTCTTTAGTGTGACAAAACTCCCCCAAACGCTGTTGTTCATCTAGAGTTGAGTTAGTCAGCACCACCACCTTGGGGAAAACCATAGACACCAACATTAAAAAAAAATGCTCTTTTCTCACCAGGAAAATAAAGTCTTTATATTTTATTGCAGGTTTACCTGGAACTTGGTAAGGTAGTCTTCAGTGAGCTCTCCGGTGTACGCAGTCACAGAAACGTAGTTGTTGAGTTCAGCCAAGTGGGGCTGACTCACTTCTGCTCTGTTCTGCCCCAGATCCTCCTCCCGAATGTAAAACTAACCACAGACAAAATACAAGATGTCAGGAGGGACAAAAACACCAACAGCCCCATTTATGTGAACGAGATGAAAAGAGAAGTCTTAAGACGGGCGTACATTGTGCGACTTTTTCACTCGAAGCACTCCGCTTCAGCTCAAACTGTAAGACTTCCTCGCAGGGCAGATCTCACGAGTCATGCGCTCACACTGCACGACCCAGTTCTCGGATGCGACCTGACTGCTCACACTGTACGTCTGGTAGCAACACATCGGACCTAAAAATAGCCGTTTTTACTCAACACGTTACTTTTTTGTCTTGTTTTGCCTGTTGTCCTTCGGGAGTGCTGCAGGAGGACGCACAGCGATTTATGGGGTTTGGATGAGGAAAACGAAATAAAGAAAGTAAATCTGTGTTTTGTGATCAGTTTAATTTGACATGAACACGACTAACACGCTTTCTTGACAATCTTTGTGAGTAAAAAAAACGTGTAGAAATTAAAACGAACAGCGTGTGTTATTAGGGAAATAGCGGGGAGCGGTGTTGATGCAGGATTGCGCATGTGCCGTGAGCGGTTCTGATACATTTTGGGTCGCAGCTGCTCGCAGCGCCGCTTCAACAGTGCAATACCCTCACGAGGGACGAGCAAAATATTAAACACGCCAGAAGTCCGTGCGAGCTCACGATTGCTGATCGGCAGCTGGTCACGTGGTGTTAATCGCCTTTCGTAACCCCCTGTACACTACATGACGCTCGACGCAAAACTCGCCCTGATCTCGTGGATTCTCGCACGAGTGGAAAATCGGCTCAAAAAAGTGAAAAAGTCGCACAGTGTACGCCCGGCTTAAGTTATTGCCAGAACCTCTCCAGCACTCCTCCCATCTGCAGCCTTTTCACCCAAACCTGCTCAGACATGTTGGTCTAACAATAAAGCAACTTAAACAACTAAACCACAGTAAACATGCACTCCACAAAAAAAAAAGAAAGTTATTTTCTAGTTTAGTGCGTGCTAGTTAGTATTGAAGATAATTTGTGTCACGATAGTAGAAAGCTTCACAGTTAATCTCTAAATATGTGTTTTATTGTGATACATAATCATAATTTCAAACATTAGAACATCTTAGCCATTAACTGTTAACTGATTAGCATCTTAAAGCATTTTAATGCAACAACATCAGTCATCAAGAGCCATCTACTTTTACCACTTTATTCCATCTATGAAAATGTGCGTGTTGAACAGGAAGTGACCAATCAATTAACAACAGAAATTAAGTGACCAAATCTTAACTCCCCCTTTTTTTTTTTTTTTTTTTTACCATGTGGGCACCGGAACGAGCCCCCGCACCGTGAGAACAAACACTCTAGTAGGGCTGCAACAAACGATTATTTGGATAATCGATTAATCGGATGGGGTCTCGACACGATTAATCGATTAATCGGATTACATAGGGACATTTTTAAAAACTGCCAGGGAAACGTTATTTTTCTCCTTCCTTCACTTTATTAAACACAACATTATTAGAAAACAGTTCAATAGCAGAAAAACAACATGCCATCACCTAAATTGTCTTATAAGGTGTATAGACAGAGACCCTAAGCTACATCTATCTGTGACCTAAAATGCTTGGTCCAAATTAAACAGCTTAAAGAGCAAGTCAACCCCTACCAGAGTCTAACTCCACTCCCGCTTCATGTTTGAAAAATGCAACACATGCTGTTGCCTGGCAGACCGAGAGGGCGGAGCCGCTAACAAATACACACACACTCAGGCTCACGACAGCATTGTGACATCATAATGTACCAGTTTACATCATAGCATACTTCTTAGCCAATAGCGGTGGCAGATTTAAATTAAAATACAGTGCAGAGTTTTTACCTGACAACGGCACAACACTGCCAGTTTTAGGCAGAATATTTAAATTTTAACTAAGATGCACTGAAGTGCCAAATTATTGACGACACGTGTCTGCAGCACGATTAGACACTCGTTTATTTAGTTTATCAGCAAAAAAAAGTTTATTTGGGGGTGACTTGCTCTTTAAGGGCAATTCTCATCTGTTTTGTTTGATCTCATCTGTAGACATTTATTATAATTGGGGATGTCAAACAACTAATTTTTAAATGTAATTAAACATAGGCTGTGAATTAATCAAAATTAATCACTATTTCCAAAAATGACTGAAAAATACCAAATAAAACAAAAGTAAATGAATGCCATCCTCCTTGCGATGATGCCCTGGGCAACTGCCATAAAGTCACATCAAGAAATGCTGCTGATCATTCCAATGATCCCAAATAGACTCACATTAGGCCACATGAAAGCAAATGAACCCAAAAATATATTAACCAGTATATAACTGTACTCTCACACAACACGCCTGCAGCAACAGTTAGGACTCCTCCCTCCCTTTTAAAAGCGTTTTTGCTTCTGAGGACATTGTGGTTGAAAAACCACATGCTAGTAGTCTGGCCCCGGTGTAATCAACCAGTTTCTGCGGGAATGTGACGGCGGAACCGGTTCGCAGCGGCGCGAGTCCCCCCCCCCCCCCCCCCCCCCCCCCCCCCCGACTATCAAATAGCGTCGCGCTTACAATTTTATAGACTTTTTTTACGAGCTTAGGGCATGTCTAGCCTGTGTAATAATCTGGGGCTTGGGTGAATCACTTTTGAAAAGTTTTTAACTTACCCGGACACCGAGCTCTCTCCTTCCTCGCTGATGATTCTGACATGCTTGCGTTTAAGACGCTGCATCATCACCGTAGTATCCCCGTGCCATGCTAAGTCTGACCTACAAACGTTGCATGTCTTCGCCTGATTTAACTGAAAATGCTCCCAAACTTTAGAAGTTTTAACTTTTTTGGGGTCTCGCTGCTTCTGCCATGTTCCTCTTACAAACACCTGCCGGCTCTCCACCGGTCTGCGCGCAACGGCGGGCGGGAGGGGAGGGGGCTTTTGGAAGAGTTGCGCAACACAACGAATCGATGACGCAATTCGTTGCCAACGCTTTTAGTAATCGATTTTCATCGAATTCATCGATTCGTTGTTGCAGCCCTACACTCTAGCTGAACTTCATCCGCGTATGTCACACGTCACGTGATCAGGAAGCAGAAGATCCATGTGGTAGATCGTTTTGGGCTACTGCTGTAAAAAAAAGTGAGGCGGATCGGAAAAGCTTCTGCCGATCACAATTCGACAACGGATTATGAAAGAACGGATAACGCTCGAAACGCGCGGATTCTTCCCGATGTAAAAAGTGAGCCTCTGCTTTGTTTTGGTGTTGACATCATCATAAAGCAGAACGTTCTGTGACTCTTCCCAAAAAAACACCCCAGAGAAAACGCTGAAAATTGCTGGCAGCGAAGGGCTTTTCTGATCAGGAAACAGCTGGCAGTTAATGAGTTAAAAGTTGGGAGAAAAAAATGCTTAAAGCTGCTCTGCTCTGGGTGGCTGCATGTTGGAGTAGCTCTGTTGACTATAAGCAAGTTTAGCCTTTTTTTGGACATTTTTTCTTCTAGTTTCTCAAGAAAAACCGTATTTTTTGGACATTTTACTTTTCTGTTTCTGGTGCTGTGAAGCTTAGAGGATTTTTACTGCCTTTTTTTTCCACTTTTTGAGCATTTGTTATGATGTGTAACCATGGCAACAAGCTGGTTTACAATTGGGAGCAGCTGATTAACATTGGAAGGGGGAAATAATACCTCAACTGAAGCCACAAATCCCAAATGAGCTAAAACGCAAGAAGCGTGGGCGCAGAGCGGGAGCAAAACGGAGACAAAGATGAAATTCAAACCATCTCTTCTATCGATCATAATGGGCAATGTGAGATCACTGGCCAACAAGATGGATGAACTCCAAGCTCTTTCAAGGACTCAGCCAGAGTTTCGGCAGTGCAGTGTTATGTGTTTCACTGAGACGTGACTGACTACGTTTACATGCAGCCAATATCCGGGTTATTATCGGGTTAAGGTCGGTATTCGGGTTTCTAAGTTGATCAGAATAACCAGTTTACAAGCATAAATAGAAAGAGTTACCCCCAACTTGCATAACCTGATTTAAATGCGGACGATGGGGTAGCGTCAGGACGTATGGACTACGTCCAGACCCAATATGCGTCATTTCCGGTTCTTCTTGTTCCGGTATCCGTGAAAACAACATGTTTCCCAGTTCGTAAGAGATAGCGACCGCGTTTGTTTGCGCTTTAGTTTCCTCGTCACTCCAAAAGTGTGGTGCTGTGCCGCGACTCGCCATGTTGCTCCCAACTTGTCGTTTACTTCCGGTGTTCTGGCGCATACAAGATGTCTCGCTACTCAAAAGACCAAGATTCCTTGCGAACAGAGCATGCGCAGAACACACGCTTTGATGGAGATATCCCGATATGCGTTTACACGACCAAACATTCGGGTTAGAAAAGGGTTACCCCAGGTGTAGTAACCAGGTTTTTAAAAACCCGGTTATGAGCATATCCGGGTTTTTGACGGTGTTTACATGGACCTGCGGAACCGGGTTATTGTGAATATTCGGGTTTTAAAAGGGTTACTGGCTGCATGTAAACGCACTCACAGAGAACTGAAGAGGAGCGGGAAAAGAAAAGGAGGGGGAGTGGCAGTGCTAGTCAACAACAGATGGTGCCATCCAGGTCATGTTTCAGTGAAATGTCTCTGTAGCCCAGATGTAGATCTCTTGGCAGTGAGTTGTCACCTATATTATTTGCCAAGAGAGTTCACCAGTGTTGTCTTGGCAACCGTTTATATTCCACCTTCAGCCATTGCTGAAAGTGCATGTGATGCCATCAGTTCAGTTGTCGCTAAGCTACAAACCCAGCACCCCAATGCATTTGTGGCTATATCTGGTGATTTTAATCATGCCTCGCTCTCTGCTACACTTCCAACATTTCAACAGTTTGTCAGCTGCTCCACCAGAGAAAACAAGACATTGGACTTGTGTGATGCAAATGTAAAGAATGCATACATGTCAAAAACAAGACCTCCTCTGGGACAATTCAATTCAATAATACTTTATT